CCCCCCCCAAGATTTTATATTCTCTACAGGGAGTGCAGCAGTGTCCTACCAATGCACTTTGTGCCTCTCCGTAAACTCAGGTCTTTCCATGATTCTAGCCACAGAGGCTTCTCAAACGCCAAGTTTTGGACACCCTGGCTAGCAAGACTTTTCTCCTTTAAGATAACCTCCTTCAATATAATACTTGAGCAACACAAGAACACAAGCCATCGCCCATCAAAAAGCCTGTCTGAATATTGATTTCTGCCCTCCTGGGTCAGAGAAGTCCTACACGAAACTCCCCATCCTGCACAGCAGGCTGATCCAGTAGCATTCCCACAGCTCAGTGCCCGGGAATGCCTGGAGTGCAAGCACAGCTGGGTGAGCAAGTCAGGCTGAGGGACATGATGAAAGCAATTTAAGGACCACAGCTCCAAAGATTTGTGTGTAGAGCTGTTCTTCATATACACAGCCTACTCCGCAGACTGGTTTTCCATAAGCCTACCAAAACTGTATAAAAGGTGTCCAATAGTTCTGTTTTGACCAAAGTAACATTACTTGTTGCTAGGTTTTGCAGCTGAAGTCACAGCTACCTTGGACTTAAGAGTTAATTCCTCTTTGGAGCACAGATTCCCCAGCCTCCCTTGCATTGTTATTCCTGAGTCTCCTGTGAAATGCAAAGTCATGTCTAAATCCTCAAGGGAAACTATTCTTATGAGAAGGAAGAGTATTTGTAATAAACCAAGATTAATTATCACAAGAGATAAGCAGACCATAAATTTCAATTACAGGCACTACCTACCTGATTAGATTAGCTATTAGTTTATTATCTGGTTTGGACAGTAACAAAAATCCTGGCAGGAGCTGTGAAAATACCTGTGAAATGGGCTACCATCCCACCCTTCTGTGCCTCAGAGTACCATTTCTGTTTACAACAGCCAGGCTAGGGAAAATTCTTTGCTAAGCAAATAGTGAACAGGCCTAGGGAGCTGAAATTCAGTACTATTTTACTTACAAACACATGAAGTTTCAGCAAATCAGTATCCTTCTATTCCATAAAGGAAGCAGACACATTCCTTGCTATGCTTAAAAGCTAACACAGCAGCTAGCAACATCAGCAGTGCTTCACATCTCTTTTTTAAATGCTGTACTTAAATTTTGCTTTATTTTTAAAGTATGGTAGGCAACACGTCGACCTACCCGGATCCTAAAGAGATGTTCTCCCTTTTTCTTGTTCAATTTTCTCTGCAAAGAAAAGAAAAAAATTGCAAGCCAAAGATCTACCCACAACCACATTAAATCTCAAGAGAATTGCTCCAATGCGATAAGACCTTATGCAAGGGTTACTGCAGCCAGGTTCGTTTTCTTCAAAATATTTGGCCATATCAAGATGTGCAAGTCAGAACTGCTACAAGAAGGTAGCTTGAAAAAAATTACTCAAATAACGAAGAACATTTTCCTCCCAGACACAAATCTTCTATTTGTATGTAGACAAAAGAGGGCAACAGAAGTAAACCACAGCTGCACTTCTGCCTGACGTAACCCCTTCGATTACGTACGAGTTTAGGTTACAAGAATTGCTGTTTTTTTTTTTTTTTTCCTGAAGAGAAAGAAGAGTTTGTAGTATCTGTAGCTTCAGGGGGGGGAAGAGGAGAATAAAGTAAAAAGAGAAAAAAACAGAGCAACCACAATTTTTATAAAACAAGCCTATCAAAGAACACTGAGGAGTGGTGGGGAAATAAGTTCATCAGCCAAACAGTTTATCTTGCCCTTTTATTTCGATGCAAGTACCACATGTTAAAGGTGAGATTATCACTGGCAGGAAGAAACAGCATTCCCAGGTGCATAAACCTGTTGCTTTAATTAAGCAGTCAAAACTCGGTTAAGAAATGCTAAACCAAACTCTGTTTGGAGCTGACAGCTGCATTAAAGTGATAATCACCAAGAAAAATAGTGTTGCATTTACAACAGTCTATTGAGCTCAAGAACAAACTGTTTTGTGAAGAGATAGTACTGGAATGACAGATAATATAATATCTCTGTGCCCAGCCCAAAAAGGAAAGAGACAGGGACAGGTAAGGAGGAACAGACCTAGTCACTCCTGTTTTTCACCCAAACTCTCTTCCTTCATGGCAGTTTGCTGGCCTCTGGGTTTGAAGCAGACCATTAGCTGTCTGTATAAAGTACTGAATTTCAAAGCACTGAAATGATTTAACAGATGGTGCTCCACCCCTTTTCTCAAGGACAGGGAAACACAGAGTCCACACGCATTTGTTAAAGCACAGCCCCAGGCCAGCTGCAAGCTTTGAGACACAGAGAGCACACAATCAAACAGAATAACCCCGGAGTGACGTCCTGGCTCAAAACCTCGGATTTCTGGGGTTTGAGTGAGCTGAGCTGTTGCTGTAGCTCTATCACCGCACTTGGTGCAGTTGGAAGCACCTTCAACTTTTTCTGGTAGGGCTCCATATGACACTAAATCAGAGTATCACATCAGGCTACACTCTCAGGACAAAAAATAAGCCATTACACTGCATAAGACTCGTTAATTAAAGGCACATGACCTCTACTAGAATAAGGAGAAAAGGCGTATGCCAGGACACAGGAGCCCAGCCAATTCACTAGGAAGCCCATGAAGAATGGCATAAAGTACAAGCCGTTGCTGTAGGGCTCTGGGGCTGCTCCCAAACAGGAGTTTTGCCTCTCTTCTGGCTGCAACACAACCACCAGGGACCCTGAACTGCAGAGTCCAGAGAGGGAGGAGAGGATGCTCCACACCGACTGGGTTGTAGCCCAGAGCAGGATCCTCCACAGTCAGTCTCAGCCACTCTCCAGGAGTGCCCTCACCTTCCAACTGCCCAGACCCAGGCAGACTGGGAGACCAGTTCCGTTTCAACAACTGGAGGTTTTTCTGGCCAGTGTTGGTGTAAGGAAGCACCAGCTCTGGGTGAGCAGCACACATCTCACCTTTCACAAACAACAATACAGGGACGTAGCTGAACCCTGCTTCGCTCTGCCATCAGACCCGACACCACAGGATTGCGGGTGATGGTACACAGATCAGGAAGAGTTGATCAAGGGTTTTGTTTGATGTGCCAGTTGAGGTGGGAACACCAAATCAGACAAAACAGGAGGCACAGCAGAGAGGGTAAGTACAGACAGTCACAGTGTTGCCATCCCTGACCCTAGCTGCATTTTCACCTCTGTCTGGCAGAGTGCAGCTCCATGGCAGAGGCTGTGACACAGCCAGCATGCACTAGAAGCTTACAGACTGCTTTTACACAGCTCTCACCTCACTACTGTGCACCACCAGCACCAGAGCCCAGCTCACTCCAAACCAGGTTTCTATTAGATTAGAAAACTGGAGAGAAAAGCAGATTCCTACTGAGAGTTTTGGACAAGACTGGCCCATAATCCACCCCATGTTTCCCTGACAAGACAGCTACCAAGCCACAGCTTGATTATTTTACATTTGTGCCTTAGGCACAAAGGAATGTAAGGTCATTAGTCAAGTGCTGAGTTTCTGCAGGAGATAAAATAAGAAAGTGGTGATACACAGCAAATTAGTTTGTGTTTGGATAGCTGAGGACCGAAAACAATTTTCCACTGGAATCATAACTAAACTGGACAAGGGCACATTTCTGTACAAGCTACCATTTACAAGGCTCTCCAGCAGCACAAGCCCCCACAGCTGAGCTTCCTTAAAGTGACATGGTTGGAAATGAAAATACAGTTGCATCAATGCCCCAGTAGCAAACAAATGTCAGCTACTGATATTTTGGAGGACAGTATCCTCTTCAGAGTATGACGGAAGAAAAAGGCCAAGACTAACCACACAAATTCCTGTTTTGTTGGAAGGGCATGGAAAAAAAACCCTTGCCAGAAGGGGAACGATTGAGATGAAGTCCCAAACTTCAATGCCAAACCCCACGTGTCCTCCAAGGCCCAAGAGTAGTTTCACCAGCAACAGAAGCACTGTTTAACTGATTGTATTACAGTGAGCAATGACTGGGGTGATGTAAAATGCCTGCAGTCTTACTTGCCTTCCCTCCATGACTTGCTCACAAACTGGTTGGATGTTCTCCCTAAACTTCAAGAAGATGAGAGGAGACACTTATCAGTAGCCCTCACCACTGCTGGTATAATTAAGTTTGGCTGCATGAGGGATAGCTCCTTACCACACAGCATAGCATGCATCCTTTCCCACAGTCACTTCTCAGCCACATTCCCTGCACTCAATTTCTGCTCTACCACCATCTACCCAGAAAGCAAAAATCCTTCCAAAACAGAGCTGGATTTTGATTGTACTGTTGTTACTTGGCTGCTGCCGTTGGAGGAATACAAGCAATCCTAAGAGGACAGCACTTCCCAGAACACAGGTTTCCTCCTTTTTCCTTTTCTCTGTGCTCCAAAATCAGTGCTTATTCATCAATGCCAAGAGTACAGGAAGAAGCTCAGCAATGCTCTAGGAGGACCTATTCATCCTAGCCACATAAACCTCAGAACCTTATCAAAACAGACACTAGAACATGATCACCTCACTGCCAAAACGAAGAAAATTTCCAGCAGTAACAACAGCTGCAGCAGGAGGGGAAGACAAAGGCCAGCCGTCCCCTGCACGCTGGGGACAGCAGCCTGTCTCAGTGGCTGTTCCCGTGTTAGTTACACTTTTGAATATCTTTTCTGTTCCATTAGCTCAGTGAGTTTTGTTGCTGAGCACTGTAAAAGCACCACCTTTATCAGAGGTTTGTCAGTCTGACACTGTTGAGTGGGCACAGCCAAGGAGAACAATACTGATGCTCTGCATGGCCAGAAAGAGTTAAATAAAAACCTTCCCCTGTACCTTCTTCTACAACTTGATGATATCAACCTTTCCATCAGAAAAATTCCACCCGTCCAACTACCATTAGACTGGATATACCTACACAGCTAAACCAACAGCTATTTCCCACCAAACTTGTCTTTTTTTTTTTTCCTCCCCAAAGGTAAGCAGAGAAGCTTAATCTTACATGGTAGCTCCAGGCCAGGATGCACAGTTGCATTTTTGACCATTGGAGGGGAGTGACGTCCATCATCCATGTCCTGCTCAGTACACTGAGCCTCTCCGTGGATCACTGCTAGTCCCAGCCGTAGCCTCTCAGCGTAAGACTGAGCCCTGCAGGACAACCACAGCATGTCAGGAACATGTTGGGCTGATGCAACTCCACAGCCCAGTGCAACAGGCCTCTCCCAAGCCCAGCAGAGCAAGCAAAGGCTGCATCTCTGTGGCTGTTTCCCAGCAAGAAGCTTCACTAGAAATGACTTCATTCCTCCTTAATATTGCAAAGCCCACTCTAGCCCTTGGCTCCACCACAGGGGTCTCCTGGCATTCCTCCATATGCTAAATACTTTCTGAGACAGTCAGGCACTACTGAAACTCAGCTAGTCTGATCCTGGCCCCAGGTGAACCCCCCAGCTCTGCAGCAGCAGAGATCCCAAGCATTTACTCCCACAGGGTTGGGACTGCAAAATCGAGCTGCCCATCTGCACCACAAGAGACTTCCATCCCCTTTCCAGCCACAAAGGACTTATGGACCAGACTGCTGATCTATTTGCAACCCTTCCATACTTTTCCTGGTGTATTTCCCATCAGCCCAGATCTTTTCCAAGTTTCTTAACCCGCTAGTAAAGGATCCATTTACCTTTTAGCTGCATCAGGAGATTTGGCTACAATAACTGCATTTCTGTAGTCTGGAATCTGGATGTGATAAAAAATTATTTAAGTAAAGACCTTTTAGCTGGTAACTGATTTGATACATAGCTGAATAATCATGCCCACTCTCCTTCCCCAGACCCAACTCTTCATTCTGTAGCAAGAAACTAGAGGTAATTGCACTAATTTTCAACACCAGTATTTGTGTATTCTGCCCTAAATGCAACACAAAAAAGTTTAGTACAGCAAGACTGCAGGTCCTACTCTGGATGTAACTGCAGCTCCATGTCTCCTTCCCTGCTGGTGCCCACAAGTTACAGCCTGGTCTGCAGTGCTGAGCACAGCTGCCCGAGGCACAGGGAAGGAAGGGGAAGAGGTTGTGATGGGCCCTGGGGGCCAGAGGCATTAAACCTCTGCAGAGATCAGCATGTGGAGCCCCATAGCCTGCGCAGAGCAGGCGCCGGCCTTGTGTTCAGAATGGGCAATGGTGGGAACATTCACCATGTTCAACCTACCTACGCTATGGGGACTGATGGCAGCTAATTCTGTCTGCAGGAGGAGGCCTCCTATGGGGAAGCTTTGTCCTTGCTGTGTAGGCATAAACCATCATCTTCTGCACACAGAAAATAAAACCTCCGTGCCCTTCCCCCAGCCCTGCTGTGCTCAGCATTCCTACACTCAGCCCAAGACAAAGTCTATCAATAATTCAGAGCAGTCAGACATACACTGCAGAACAAAGGGTGAGGGGAGACAGTTTAACAGGATTTAAAAGGTGATTAAAGGCAGGAGCATAAATGGCATCTATCAAAGGGCACTAACCCTACAGAGAACAAGCTCATCTTCTGCTTATTGTCAAGAGCTCAATTTCTATCTCGGTACAATCACACAACGTAACATTTCCCCACTTCCCTAAGAAACATGCAACAGGTGCCCCCTAAGAAAGAATTCGTTAACAGAATGACTGACCTAGCCTGATAACACAACTTCTGCATGAGCTGAGGTCCAATGCTGCTGTCACATTAAGACGAGTTAAGACAAGATGATATATATAGAATCACAGAATCATTCAGGTTGGAAAAGACCCTTGGGATCATTGAGTCCAACCATCAGCCCGACTCCACATTGTTCTCCCCTACACCATACCCCCCAGCATCTCATCTAAACAACCCTTAAATATAGAACTAGAGTAACCTCACTTCTTCCTGTATATACTGAAGCAAGAAAGGGGATGCTCTCAGGTTGTCTACTGGGAAGCTGAAGAAGCCTTGAATTTCTTTTTGATGAAGGTCCATAGTGATAATGTGTGTTAAACCTAAGGGGGGAAAAAAAAAGGTAACAATTCATTGAGAAGACTCCCACATGGCTGGAGTTCCTCGAATATGTCAATTTTCCAGACTATTTTAGCTATTACTCAGACTGTTAAGCCATGTGATAAAATAAGCATAAACAGGTTAATGTAAAAAGTTCCAAAGACATAATGAGAAACAGGCATGTGCTGACACTGTATTTCAGTATGACACTTCTAGGCCACTTCCCCAGGTGCAAGTTACAAAGAAATAAAATTAAGCTGAAGCAAATTAATTCCGCCAGGGTGGCACAAGGGCTCAGCAGCACATCCCCACACTGAGTGGGAGAAGAATGGAAGGACAGACGCCCTCTGGGATGCCCGGCAGCCACATGCAATGCAGCGTCCAAGCCTGCAACACTCACCTGCCTTGGCAAGCATCGAAGCCAGCAGCTTGCAGACTATAGAGCCCCTCTTCCTCATCTTGCTCTGTTTGCTGTAGGGAAAGTAAGGGATGACCCCAATGATGTTCCTGGCACAGGATGTCTTCAGTGCATACGCCATTATCAGCAGCTCCATGACAGCAGTATTCACATCCCTAGGAGATTTGAAAACCATTCCAAGTATCAGTAGGTGGTTTTCCAGTGCAACTCCTTTTCGTTTTATACCCATTTCTCTCCTCACCAAACTTCCAAGCAAATAATGCTACATCTAATGCTAATGTATGCAATACCCAAATTGTAATTGTATAGCTCCTTCCATCGTGCCACAGCACATTACAATCAACTGTTGTATGTACAGGACATGACTCCAGCACTCAAGAGCTGTGGACTAGAATTTGATTTTGTATTCTAACATGAGGTATATAATGATTCCCCTCCATCATCACAACAAAAAAGGGCATTTTTTTCATTTATGTTGTAACAAATGTCACCTCATACAGTGTATTTTGAAATAAAATAGTCTTTTAAAGAAGCGGAACACATGTAGCCAACACAACTTCATCCACATTGGCTTTATTAGGGTATTTTCATTTTTAACAGTATAAGGCAGGTTATTTTTCCTGTCATAAGAAATATTGCACTTTGGAGCAGTACAAAGTTCAGGCACATCACTTTGGTGGAGATCGGCATCTCCATGCTATCTTGCTTATCAGAAATGGGAAGAACAACAGCACAGTAAATGCTAAACAACTCCTTCTTGAAAGAAAAAACAAAAATGCAACATAGGCAGAACTTATCTGTAGACCACAGCAAGGTATACTCGTAAAACCCCATTTTCAGTTAGCTTCAACATGATGACTGACATGGCCCAGCAACGGATGTATTAGTCTGTACTTTAAACAATTTTGGGAAGGGGAAAAAAAAGCCAAGCCCTTTTACTTTCTTAAAACCTCCAAGACACACCGTCTGCATCGTCCCAAACTGACCTGAGGTCACCTGGGAACTGAAGAACATGAACTTCAGAGAAGACAGGGACTGGCAATCCTCTGACAGCACAGACACCCGCAATTGCCTGGGGGGGGGTTCAGCACAGATGGCCTCAACTGACACACCACTTGCACAGACTGGTCCCCAGGGGGCAAGACTGGCAGTGGAGCCCATGGTGACAGAGCAGGGGCTGAGCGGACCATCCTTCCACACAGCAGCAGAGGAATAAACAGCACAGAGCAGTTTAAAGCTCTGCAGAGCTTTCTGGATGTTACCCAGACATTGCTCGAGGACCCATTTTCCTCCTGACCACCAGGGAGGGCTTCCCCAAGAGCTCAGAGAGATGGTTTATCCCAGCCTCTGTCCATGTGACCCGTGACAAACCCCTAACCATTTCCATTCCTCCATCACTCCCCCTTCCTTCAGAAATTAACCTCTGTTTGTGCCTCTTCATTTGGGAGCGCTCTGGGTCTCTGTTCTTCTGCTGGCCCCGCCAGCCCTCACACACAATGCCGTTTATACACAAGAAAGCTTTGTTAGCTCTGAAGAACTCAGCCAAGAATTACATAAAACATAGCCCCCTGCCACATAGGACAACGAGCAAACAAAGAACGGTTTCTTCCCTTTGGTGTTTTAGCTGTCTGTGCCAGTGGGGCCATGAGAGGAGAAAAAGATGCTACTATCAGTGTTGTATGAAAACAAAGTGGCCAAGTTCAAGCCTATTTAAAGTTCATCCCAGAAATACAATATTTTCCATCATGATTTTTCAAATTACTCTTTAAAAATATATATATTCATGTAAAAAAGCAGATAGAGAACAAAACTGCTCCTGGCAGAAATGGTTGCTGCTGATTTCAAATGGCAGCAGCAGTCCTGCTGCTACTGTGGGACACTGGCAGCCATATCCATGGAGAAATTACTCAAGGAGGAGCCCTCCTCTCCATAGTCAAGCAGGAGCCCACGCTGGGCTCTGGGAAGCTCCTGCAGACCAGCCAGCACAGCACCAGGCAGAGGCAGATGCGTCTGTTCCTCCAGCAGGACCCGGGGGGCCGCTGGGGGGTTCGTAGAGGCGAGGAGCACCCTCCTGGAGGCTTCACACTGAGCCAGCCATCACAATGACCTGCTCCTCTGCAAGGGGCACGGACCCCAGTCAAGGGCCTGGCTTGGGGTGGGGACTAATTGGGGGAAATAACATCTGCAGTGGAACCCCAGCCACAGCACCTCCAAAAGGGGTACCCAGGAGAGCACCCCAGCACCTTGCTGCACTCCCCACCTCCTTCCTTGAAGCTGTGCTCATGGTTACTGCTGGAAAACCTGAGCCAAGACCTCACACAGGGACTGTCAGCTCATTACCAGGACATTTAGAGCCAGCTCAGCTATCCCTCACACCCCACTTACCACCCCTCTCCAGCCAGCCTCCCACACTGCTCCCCAGCCCTGTTCTTGGGGCTAAGCAAATGGCTTATGTGAAGCTGCCAATCAACTTTGCAACAACCAACACCAACATTCAGCACTAAAAGACTCCTTTTGCTCTTAGTGTATCACTAAAGCACCAATTCTTCCATTTTTCTACAGTCTAAACATGAGCTATTTGGTTTTCCCTCATACAAATGCTAGTCCACACACCAGCAGTCTTGGATGATACCGGTCTTGCTAACATTTTTAGTTCTGCTGTATGCTTTTTGGACAGGGAGCTGGTATCAAATATTCAGGTATTTTCATTCTCTCTGTGCATTTAAGATGCAGACTGCGAATTCACATTGCAGCATAACAAGGTTGCTTCTCTCTCTACTCCCTTCCTACTGAGTCTTAATATTTTCTTTGATTTTCAAACCGCTACTGAGCATGGAAGTGCTATTCTTAGAATATTCAACACAGTTGTTGTTTTTACTCTCCTGAAAAGCTCCCTGAAACTCACTGCAAAATTGAGATGCCCTTGAACCTGTCCTCTCAAGCAATGCAGCAAAGCACAGCTGCATTTTAAGAATAAAAGATGACTTGGCTGCACAACAGCAGCTCCTCACCTGGAGAGCCTTGAACATTTTGGCTAAAAAGGACCCTTTTCTTGGCCCACAACACTGAATTCAGTTTATGGAAAAACAAGGAGATCAAGAAGTTAAAAGCAGAGGAGGTTTTCCCCTCCCCAAACTATTGCTGCCCCTAATGCTCTGAGTTATCTCTCAACACCTTGTCTGTTCCATGTTTACACAGCTCTCAGTTACAAGTTATTTCAGAGAACTCTCTCACGAGGCACAGGAGAATGGCACTATTCACTCGAAACATAATCCTGCATCACTGGACTTTCTTCTTGCAGAAATTTAGTTGCTCCCTGAGGAAAAAAAAACACTTTGAGCATTTGTCCAGAGAGAGATGAGCTCTAGGAAAATGTCTCAGCCTGCAAGAGGAACTCCAGAAGGGAGCAAGCTGATCTTGTAGTCCTACTGATTTCTTTAACAACAGGCCAAGCACTAGAAGAGAAAATGAATCTGAATTCTCAGAGTGATCTGTTTCTTTGGCAAGCAATAAAAAGTTCTGTTTCAATGGTATTCTGCTACCTGCTTGAGCTCTGGTACTTATAACTGTTCTTGTGATTTCCCAAATCTGAGCAGAATTTGCTAACTTGGAAAAAGCTATCAGAGCAGGAATATCCTTGTTTTGCTAACTGTGCAAAAGGCATCCTATCAAAATCTCATCTCTGAAAACAGCACCTCCCCTACTCATAGTTGGTCATTTTGCAGTTACTGTTGGTTTGTAGGCTCCCTTCTCACTATACTAGTGCTATCTCGCTACACTCTTCCTCAGTCAGAAAGCAGCAAGATTCCTGAGGTTAGCAGCTGGTTTTCTAGTCCCCTAGTTACTTGCAGCACTTCTTTTTCCTCTTATTCAAAGGCTAGAACAGATCAAAATAAAAACCAGAAAGGCTCACTTAAGAAAACGCCCAACATCATCAAGAATACAGGAGGGAAGGTACAGACTTCCACCTCACCACAGCAAAAGGGGAAGAATAATCCAGCCTGCAATGAAATCAATAGCTGCTGTTTGTTGCTGGCTCTGCTGCTTGGTAATTGGGAGGCAGAGGAAATTACACATTTCAAAATGGAAACGGAAGTCAGAAATCAAACAACTGAGCCTGCAAGGACACCAACTCACAGACCAGGGATATTCCACTTGAAGCCATCAGTTACACCTGTTCTTTCCTCAAGTGACACACTTAAGTTATTTGATGGGACGCTTCTCAGTTTGCTGTGGCACAAGCGATCCTCTGGGAATTTTAGCAGCTTAACACTACGTGGTGTCTTAAATGTAAGTCAAAGCAATGACAACACTGGAAGGATACTGGTTATCATGCTGGCTATCGAACAATCTTCTGAACCAGAAATTCAAAGCATATCACAGCTGCAAAACTGAGCCACAGGTCCCTTACCTGGGGATTGTCTGTATAATGAAGATATCCTGTCCCCGGACAGATTCTTTTATTTCAACTCTTGTTTCTGAAGAGGATTGAAAACACAGTCAGTTTTGTTTCCAAACATCAGATTTACAGTGATAACAAACTATGTTTTAGCAGCAACTTTGTCCACTGCTCAGGGCAGATGAGGACCTGCTCCTTTGCCCTTCGTGCACAGACACCCACTAAATGGCAGATGAGCCAAGGGGATTTTCCAAAGGCTGGTCCTGGAAAGTAAAGAGCTGGCACGACATATCAGTGAGTTAGTTGGATTTACAGCACAAAACCAGGCTGGACAGCTGTTCTCTTACACGTATAAGACAATTAACTAACTCTCGATGAGAGATCCTTTTCACTTCTCCATGCTGAGTGCTGAAAGCTGTCAATACCACCTGCATTAGTGACCAACCAACCACCCAAAGCAGTGTAACCTTTAGTACTTACCAAGAAAGTAACTCAGTTCTCTTGCAGCTTACCATGGGGTCAGCTCCATACAGGCTGGAGAGCCCAAGGCAACACCAGCAGCATAGAGTTCAGAAGGAGATCTCCCCAAACTCACTACCAAGGTCAAGACATTTCAAGACTGACACTAGCTGGAAACCCAGGTCCTTGCTGAACACAATTTCTACAGTCCCAGACTCAAACGCAAAGGCCAAGGCCCAAAGCAGAGCAGCAGGCTCTGCAGAGCCAAAGCAGTGACACAAGGTTTCCTGAGGTGCCTGTCTTAGCCACTCATTTCCCACACAGTCCTGAATTAAGAGGGCAGGGATAATAAGTGAAAGGAGAGAAACATCTACCCAGCTACAGAATTCAAAGTTTAATTGCCTGGGCACTGGCAGTAACCTTAAGGGACTCCACTGAAAGCAGACGGATTTGCTGTGCAGTGATGAAGAACGACTTCAGACCTTGTAGCAAGTAACCTGATTTAACGCTAACCCCACAGGGCAGAGAGCTCTCACTAGCACAAACACAACAGCCAACCCAACCATAACCACGGCAGCTTACACACTGCGTGGCCCATTCTGGCTGTAAGAACAGCAGCACTATCCTAAATCCTCCTGCCGAGCCATGCAGCACCACTTCCTCTTGCCTGTATCAGCTCTCTGGTTCTAGTCTCTCTTGCAATAAGGTCTTCAAACAGTAAGTGACTCTGAGCCACTGAACTCTGTTAGCCAATATCCTTGTTTTAGCCCAGCGTTGGAAAACAGACACTTGCCACATTAAAGAGATGAAAGCAAGCTCCAAGAGGCACGCTCCCTGGCACAGCCCTGAATTTGCACTCTTTAAAGCAAGAGGACAGGTCCTTGCTAGGGCAGCTGTAAACTGTGGCGGGGAGGGCTGGAAGAAAGGGATAATTTAAAAGTTTGCAAGGCAGACACTTAGAAAGCAGGCCATTACTTTTAAACCTGGGAGATGTTTTGCTAAGCACAAGAGCATGTAAGATTTTGTAGCAGCTAACACCCAAGGTAGGACTCTCCCTTAGACAAGCATTAGCTGATGGGCAGACAAAGTAACAGGGGAAAACAAGGAACACATTTAATTGCTTGTCCAAGGTCAGCCACGAGGGTTTAGCACTGCCAGGAGCAGCAGCAACTTCACAGCTGTATGACTGCACTTACTAGACAGGTTTCACTGATAGAGTTACCCAGTATTTCTGAGATTACCTCAAAATAGTTGCAAATAGTGAAGATTTCTCTCACCTCCATTGGTTTCCTGGTACACCACAGATTTCCCCAGCTCAGCACCGAGACGCCTGGAGAGAAAAAGGAGATTAAAAATGGAGGAACCCAGCAGTTTGTGATCCAAAGCAGAGACTGGACAAACATTACACACCAAAACACAGCATTGTCTAACTGGGAGCCAAATGCACCAGCCAGGCTGCAGAACTACACATCCTCCCCTTCCTCAGGAGGCTCCTTCCCCCCAACATCCTGGGGCATGCTGCCCTGCAGCAGGTCAGCGCTGCACTCGAAGAGCCAGTCCTTGCACTGAATACAGGCTGTGCCTCCTGATGGCACAGGATATTTTGCCAGCCTATGCAATGCCACTTTAGGCAGATCTGTTGTGATTTACTCACATTTGATGAATGGCAACTAACTAGGGGTTTTTGGTTTGGGGTTGTTTGTTTTTTGGTTTTTTTTTTTTTGACTCCCACATCTTTTTCTTTTTTCTTCCCCCCAATACTTTCCTTCTGAAATAACTCAGCTGATTGAAGAGATTTTAACTTCAGAAAATACTTTTCTGATTTTTTTAAATTACTCCTTCCTCTTCTCAAATGTCAAACCTACAACATTCATCACAATAAAGATTAACAATTGCACCTCCCCCCTTTTTTTTTATTTCTTATATAAGAACAACTCATTTTGAAAAGTGCTTTAAAAGGCTCTGAAAGGCAGATTATTCCCTCAGATGACACTTCTGTATTTAGCTGTACTGACAAGTAACCCATCAGTAAGTATTTAGAGGCACATGTGCTTTAACCATGAGCCTCAACTGAGAGACCCCACACCAGCGAGACACTTGGGACAGACATGTTGCTGCAACTGAGCTGGCTGGAGCAGACTGCAAGTCCCTCCTCTCTTCTAGGATCTGCTTGGTGGCCGTGCCCACACACTGGATTAGCAAACAGTTTATGCCTAAAAAATACCTTGTTCAATGCGTGGATTATGGCACTGGTTTCCTGTCTGCACAAATAGTGTATTTACCTGGACACATGCCAAAATTATGTGAATTGAAACTATCCCCAAATAAAAGGCCCACACCCACTGCTGGCTTTCCTCCAGTCTACCTCCTTCAGCAACTGATCTCTCTCCATTTCCTTAGCCACAGACTCAGCCATGTATTTCAATTGTCCCAAAGATTTGTTTTTTCAGAAGTCAATGAGCAAGACAGCCTGACACAGGCACACTGCTGGCCCACCAGCAACTGCTGGACTCAGCTACGAGCCCACAAGCTGGAGGTCTCAGCTAGAAGCTGACCTGGAAAGTGTGCCCGTTACAGCTGCAATAACAGATACTCGAATGCAATGGGATATAGTTGCTTAGCTGGCTATGAAGCACGTATTTGGCACACACACGTTTGCGATCATGTGTCTGGCAGCACGTTTTGCCATGGCTAGGGCTGATGAGTAAACTCTTGCAACAAGAATCATAGGTGTGTGGTTGTCACCAGCTGACTGCAGCATCACCTGGGCACTGTGCCATCCAGAGCAGGCAAGTCACCCAAATCTCTAATTCAGCTTCTCTCATCAGCCCTGTTGACTTAAAACATGCAGCTGCGATACAAAGGCATCCTCAGTACCTTCAGTATCTTCAAAAAAGAACTGGCAGCAAAGGCATGCCCAGGGATGGATGGACAGTAAAGGCGAGTTTTGCAGATAGGCTCCAGCAAGCTCTTACAGCCCGTTGGGATCCTGCTGTCTTTCCCATGACAGTCAGGCATTTGCAACCACTAAGCTTTGGCCTAATCGCTGCCAAGGCATCCAAGTTGAAACTAGCTCAAGAATCACATACAAAACAAACCAGTGTGTGGGGGTAAACGTTTAATGACTCACACTTGTTCCTCCACAACTGCACGGTAAGTCTTGCAGCTCCCTTTGGAGGCACATGCACCCTGACTTTACTGCAGATAGCATGCTCCTACCTCCCTACTGGCAAGTGCCCTTAGTCACCCCTGCATCTCGTGGAAGGAGGGGAAGCTCCAAAAACAGTCCAGCTGGACACATCTCAGAAAACATCTCTTAGAGGGTGGCACTTTCAATGTTAAGAGGTGGCAAACACACACAGTGGAGGTTTGTGATGCTCTGCGAGGATGTAGCTGGCAAGAAGAAACCAGAGCCCAGTGGTCCCCTATTCTGACCATAGAGCAGCAGCACAACTTCTGTGCTGCTGAAACAAGAAATTGGAAAGGTAAGTTTGCTTCCCAATGAAAGAAAGACACTAAACAGCTCAGCTTGTCAAACCTAGGTGCAGATAGCAGCAGAAGAGACAATAAGTAAGCAGCTGCCAGCTTAAAGGAATGAGCAGTAGTAGATTGCTCTGCTCAGACAATAAATCCCATCTCTGCTCCAACTATTGACTGCAAGTAAATAAGAGGGGCAGCAATGGGAAGGATATGAGATAAAACTGCCCATAAAAGTCATACATCAACCCTGCCTGCAGCACTCTGCAGTCCTCTGAGCTGCAGGCATAGCAGACAGACTGACAGGCAGCTCCACCAAAGCAGTTCAGGTATGTTTACCCAAGGGGCACACCTTCCACTAAATCCATTTCTGAAAGATTTGCATAAGCCAAGACTTCAGCCAGAGAAGGAGTCTGATAAAACCTTGATTTAGTCAAGGCTATTAAAGAGGGGACATTTTGTGCAGGTCCTGTTGTAAAATATCGAATTCTGCAGGACTTGTGTCAAAAGGGAGATCTGCGCTGAAGTCAAGGGCAGAGCACAGCCTTAGCCACCACACAGCCTGGGAGCAACCATTTGTAACAGAGTTCAAAGATAAATTCCCCCTTCCCATCACCTCTCCCTTTTTCCTCTCCAACCCCAGCTCTTTTCTTTCTAAATCCTCTCTGTGCAGAAGCTCCCAATTGCTTGTTGCTTTAGGCAACAGAGGAATTAAACTGACAGCAAGAACTCTTGTTTGCATTGGGCTTCAGGACTAACAGCATAATGGTATGAACAGGGGCTATCACAACTACCAGATCACCTGGATATCAGAGTCATTGGATCTACACTAGGAAAGAACAGGCTGCCACTACAGGTAACCCAGAGCACACACCACTGCAGAGAGATACAGCTTCTTCTGGCAAAAATACTACTTCAGGTCTTGGAGCTAACTCACACCTCCAAGCAAAACGAGCTCAATCAACAAAAGGCCTGCTGTGTGGGGCAGTAGTTGGCTACAGGGCGGGGGGGG